AAAAATTTTACATTTTTCATAGAGACTGGATCTTGCTACGTTGCTCAGGCTGGTCCTAGCCTCAAGTGATTTCCCCCCTGCCTTGGCCTCCCCAAACTAGTATTTACAGACATCAGCCACCACTCCCAACTTTTAAATATGTGTTTTAACAAGTCCTCCAGAAGGTTTTGAGACCTGCTCACATTTGAGAACTGTTATCATGGATTGCTAGAGAGATTGAGTATATTACACAGATAAAAAATGCTTGGAGCTGTGCATATCCCATATCTCATAAACGCATAAATATTCATTATTACTGTTGTTGTTGTCATTGTCTTAGAAGAGGTCCAGCTTCCTGGCCCTATAAGGGTCTAGCTGTGTCCTCTAGCCCTGCCTAGTGGGAACATTAAGAATCAAGGGCTTCTTGGGCGATGCCTGTGGCTTGATATATGGCACCAGCCCCATATATCAAGGGTGGCAGGTTCGAATCCAGCCGTGGCCAAACTGCAACAACAAAATGAAAATAGCCGGGCGAGGTGGCTGGCGCCTATAGTCCCAGCTACTCGGGGGGAATCCGAGCAAAAAAATCGCCTAACCCCAAGAACTGGAGGTTGCTGTGAGCTGCAACGCCATGGCACTCTACTGAGGGCAACAAAGTGAGACTCCGTCTCTTAAAAAAAAAAAAGAATCAGGGCCTTCTCACCTCTCTCTGCTGTAAATGACAGTGGAGCTGGACCACGTCACTATGTCTCTGATGAAAGGTTATCACTTTGATGGAGAAATGGAAAAGGTCAGGTTGTAGGGGGGCTGTGCCGCCTTCCTTCTGCTGGGGGAGATAAAAGAGGTTACTTGGTTTCTTTCAGGCAGGGCGGGGGGAGACTATGATGTATAAATGGAGGAGCCAGGAGGCAGTGGAAACAGTGGTCCACTCTCCTGTGACTCTGTCCAGCATGGCCAAGTGCACACTGCTTTTGCTGCTTGCAGTGGGGGTGCTGGGTGGAGAGCTCTGGCTTGTAGCCCAGGCCCGGGCAGCACCCTATGGAGTGAAGCTTTGTGGCCGTGAATTCATCAGAGCAGTGATCTTCACGTGTGGGGGCTCTCGATGGAGACGGTCGGACATCCTGGCCCAGATAGCTATGGGTGAGGCTGGTGAGTGGGTGTGTGTGGGAGGGAGCAGATGGCTGGATAGAGCCAACGATCCAAGGACAGAGATAAGAAAAGAGGCTAGAGGCTCGGGCTTGTAGCTCAGCAGCTAGGGCGCCAGCCACATACATAGGAGCTGGTGGGTTCGAATCCAGCCCGGGCCTGCCAAACAACAATGACAACTACAACCAAAAAATAGCCAGGAAGCATGGTGGCTTTGCACCTGTAGTTCCAGCTACTTGGGAGGCTGAGGCAAGAGAATCGCTTATGCCCAAGAGTTTAAGGTTGCTGTGAGCTATGATGCCATAGCACTCTACCCAGGGCAACAGCTTGAAACCCTGTCTCAAAAAAAGAAAGGAAGGAAGGCAGGAAGGCAGGAAGGCAGGAAGGCAGGAAAGAGGCCAGAGGAGTAGGGTCCCTGTCCTACCATATCCAGCCAGTGGACCTTGAAGCCATGTTGAGGGCTTAGGAGTTAGCAGAATTTGCAGAGCTGGGATGGGAGGTGAGGGGAGAGAGCCATTTACAGGGGCTACAAGTCAGAGAACAGTATCCTGAGTATTGTATTCTGAGCACCTGCTAGGTGCCAAGCCCTGTGCTAAGCAATGCTGCTCCTTGCTTGACTCCAGGGGGGCACCATTCACAAGAACTGGTGTGCTTTCCAACTCTGTCTGGTAGGTAATGTTGAGGGATGTGGTGTATACACAGCCCAGATTTTGGCACCTAGTGGGTGACCTTGTCCAGCAAGTTGCTTTGCCTCTTTATCTTGGAATGGGAATCACAGTCCCTGAATCCTGCAGGATGTAGTAAGTGATATAATTAAACCAAAACAGTTAAGGGCAATGTCTAAGCAGAGCAGGAGGGCTCAGTCCAGGCTTAAAGGGGAGAGTGGGGGAACAGGAGACCTAGTTTTTTTATTTTTTGTTTAGACAGACTCTTAAGCTGTCACCCTAGGCAGAGTGCCGTGGTGTCATAGCTCACAGCAGCCTCCAATGCGGGCTCAAGCGATCCTCTTGCCTCAGTTTTTCTATTTTTTAGTAGAGACGGGGTCTCACTTTTGCTCAGGCTGGTCTCGAACTCATGAGCTCAGGCAATCCACCTGCCTCAGCCTCTCAGAGTGTTGGGATTTACAGGTGTGAGCCACTGTGCCCAGCCAGGAGATCCAGTTTTATGAGGAGTAGGGGCCTTGCAAAAGAACAGAAGTTCATAAGAAGGAGCCAGAAGAAAAGGAAGATGGGTGGATATGAGGGTGAACCCAGAAGACACAATGCCTGGGTTCAAATAGTAGCTCTACGAATTAACATCTATGTATTCTTGTGGAAGTTATCTACCAACTTATGCCTCAGTGGTTTCTGCTGGAAATGGAAGTAAAAATAATAGGACCCACCTCATGTGGTTGTCATTAGGAGGAATAAAGAAGTTAATCTAGCGAACAGACAAAACAGTGTCTAGCACACAGTAAGTGTTCAATAAATGATCAATGCTATTTTGAATGCTTATCATGAGCCAGGGATTGTTTTAAGTATTTTTCTGGTTATTAATTCCTCTACTCCTGATAAATCTTAAGAAGGTAATATTATATACTTTATATACTATTATTTTATACTTTTCAGACAAAGAAACCAAGGCTCAGAGAATAAATTCACTTGCTCATGTATACCTCAGAGAGGCTGCATTCCTGTTCAATCATCCTGACTTGCAAACACATGCTCTTAACTGCCAGGTCCTCAATAAATAAAAAAGTAAGGAAAAGTAAATGACAGGAAAGGAAAGTCAAGGTCAGTAAGATTGAATAATCTGCTCATTAAAGCTAGTGACAGAGTCATAATTGACAGGATTGAATGAAATCAAATTTTGACCCATGAGGCTATATCACAAAACAGAGAAGTAGCAGGGCTAGCCAGGAGCCAGGAGTCTGGGTGTGATACCAGCTGAGACCTGAGCACTAACCCTCTTCATCTTTTGCAGGGGATGCCTTTCCTGATACAGACGCCGATGCAGAGAGCCTGGCAGGCCACCTGGATGACGCTATGGGCTCTAGAGAGTGGCTGGCCCTGACCAAGTCCCCTCAAGCCTTTTATGGGAGCCGACCCAGTTGGCAGGGAACTCCTGTGGCTCTTCGGAGCAGCCGAGATGTCCTGGCTGGTCTTTCCAGCAACTGCTGCAAGTGGGGATGTAGCAAAAGTGAAATCAGCAGCCTCTGCTAGCTAATTCCTGAGCTGGGCAGCTGTGCACACCAGGAGCAATGCTACAGACCCACCATCTGCTCAACTGGTGTCTGGCTGGGCACCTGTCTTCCAGTCCTCACACATTCATTCATCTGCAAGTCACGGAGGCCTGGTGCTGTGTGCTTGGGCACAGTCTCCCTGCCCCCTTCCAATTCAGACTTTCACTAGCCTATCCCGACCCTGTGTCGTGAGCAAGCTGTGCTCCCTACCTGGCCAAATCGGGCTGTTCCTGACCCTTACTCCTGACCTCTCCCCAACCCAAACCATGTCTTTGTCTGATCTACCCAGTCTCTTGTTACAATTTTGCCCCTATTCTGCCCCAACCGGGCATACTGAGACCCCAGCCCGTCTGCCTGGTTTCCCCTGCTAGAACTCTAAGGCTGTGACCCCAGGGTGGTGGCAGGTTCCCCAGCTTCCTTTGATAACCTGGGATGGGAGGCGCAGTGGGCTCGTCAGAACCTCCCCCAATTCTAGTAATAAAAGTTCCACAGAACTCGGCAAGAGTGCACGTGTGTCGTTGCTGGGGGTGGTGAGGATGGGAGGTGATTCAGGAGAACTCGGTCTCGCGCTCGGAGCCACCCCCATCTCCCCCGAAGCTCCAAGACGCCCTCTCACTCCCGCTCCCCAGCATTACGCCGCCCGGGACTTTCCGTAGCGGGGAAGGGGAGGGGACCTGAGTGCAAGGTGCGGAGGCGGCCTGCAGGGGTGGCTCAGTTTCCAGTCGCCGCCTCCAGCACTAGACCCAGAGGAGGAGGCGGAGCCGAGCCGCGCGGCAGCGAAGGGCCAGGCGGGCGCAGGGGGCCCTATGCTGGGGGCCCGCGTCACCCTCTTCTGGCTGCGGCCACTGCCAAGTCTTCGGCTACTGCCATTTCTGCTGCCTCTGTTCGTGCTATTCCACCAGACGTGTCCGCAGGGTGAGTTCTGGAGTGAGATCGTGACGGATGCTCTGCCCCTGCGCTCACCCCTGAAATGCAGATCCTGTGGGGTGAACCTCAGATTTGTGAAACGCAGGGCAGGGGCCCAGGCGCCACTCTGCGCCTCCAGGGACTGGGACTCAGGCCACGAAAGGAGTTGGCAAAGGGGTGGCAGCGCGGTGGGAACCATGGGCGTTCTCGGGTGGTTAACAGGATGTGGCGGGAGGCGGAGGGAGGGGAAGAGTTTTGCCCAAAGCCTGGGTAGGGGTACCCAGCACCCTCTTCCTGCCGCGCATTTCCGTAAAAGACACTGGTATGCCCTCCACAATAGTCAGAATTGCCTGGAAGTTCAGGTTTGGGGGTGTGCAGGAGGCTTGGGAGGATTTAACCCCCTTCCCTGAGATCCTTTGCCTCCCTCTCCAGGCAACCTCGGGCCACTGCAATGCTACGGAGTTGAACCCAGGGGCGACTTGAACTGCTCGTGGGAGCCTCTTGGGGATCTGGGAGCACCCTCCACGCTGCACCTCCAGAGCCTGAAGTAGTGAGTACAGTAAGATGCATTGGAGGCCTTGGAGGTGGTCCGCCCAAGTCCCAGACTGCTCTGGTTGAAAAGATCCATTCTAAAGCCCTTCGATTCTATGTTACTTCATTTCCATGGTGTGTGACCCTGAACCTCTGTTTCTTGGAACTTACCCCTGGTGTTGATTCTGAGGATTCAATGAGTTGACACTTGAAAAGATAAAATACTTAAAGTGAGGCTTTAAAAATTTGCGTGTGACCTTAGGCAAGTAGCTTAATCTCTCTGAGCATGAGGAAAGTTCATTTAGTCTGGTGCTGGGGATGCCACAGTGAAAGAGGTAGACAGAAAGCCTGGCCCTTAGCTAAGGAAGAGGTCTCTGTTTCTTCATAATGAATCATACCTGAAAATTTACAATTTCAAATTATACTAAGTGAGGAAAGAAACAATAAATAGGTCAGCAAAATTTAGGAACAGAGCATAAGTGTGTTAGGTTTTTTTCCTTAATGGTGATTAAAACACAAATAAAATTTACAATCTTAACCATTTTTAGTGTAAGTTCAGTGGCCATAAGTACGTTCATGTGGTGCTATCATCACTACCCTCCATCTCCAGAAGGAGACCCTAGTTTGTTTGTTTGTTTGGGGTTCTTTTGCAATTTTTGGCAGGGGCTGGGTTTAACCCCACCACCTCCAGTATATGGGGCTGGTGCCCTACTCCTTTGAGCCACAGGCGCCACTCTGGAGACCTTAGTTTTAATTGGTGCAGGATGAGGGAGTCAGAGACTGTCCCCCCGTTTTATTAATGAAGTAAAATTCACATAACAAAATTAACTATTTAAAGCATACAATTCAGTGGTATTTGGCATATTTGCAGCATTGTGCAACCATTATCTCTGATTCCAAAACATTTTCATCACCCCAAAAGAAAACCTGTACCAATTCCCTCCCTTACCCCCTCCCCAGTCCCAGTCCCTGGCAACTACTCATCTATTTTTTGTCCCTATGTATTTTCCTATTCTGACATTTCATGTAAATGAAATCATATGATCTTTGGACTTTTGGGCTTCTTTCACTCAGCATACGTTTTCTTTTTTCTTTCTTTTTTTTTGTAGAGACAGAACCTCACTTTATTGTCCTTGGTAGAGTGCTGAGGTGTCACACTGCTCACAGCAACCTCCAGCTCCTGGGCTTAGGCTACTCTCTTGCCTCAGCCTCCCAAGTATCTGGGAATACAGGTGCCCCCGACAACGCCCAGCTATTTTTTTGTTGCAATTTGGCTTGGGCTGGGTTTGAACCTGCCACCCTCAGTATATTGGGCCAGCACCCTGCTCACTGAGCCACAGGCACTGCCCTTAGGATACATTTTCTAGGTTCATCCACGTTGTAGTATGTAGCAAAACTTCATTCTGATTTACCACTATTAATGTTCCATCATATATATGGACCACAATTTGTTTATCTATTCATCTGTTGATGGACATTTGGGTTGTTCTCACAGCATAGTGCTGCTATGAGCATGTGTGTACAAGTTTTTTGTTCAAGTCCCTGTTTTCAGTTCCTTTGAGTATATACTCAGGAGTGAAATTGCTGGGTCATGTGGTAATTCTATGGTTAACCTTTTTTCATTATAAATTGACATGTTATAATTGTATAAATTGGTGAGGTACAAAGTGATGTTCTAATTTATGAATATAATGTGGAATAATTAAATCAAGCTGCTTAACATCCATCAGCTCAAATACTTAACATTTTTTGTGGTGAAGACATTTGAAATTTACTCTCCTAGCAATTAAAAAAAAAATTTTTTTGAGATTGGGTCTCACGCTGTTGCCCCAGGTACAGTGAAGTGGCATCATCATAGCTCACAGCAACCTCAAACTCATGGGCAATCTTCATGCCTCAGCCTCCTGAGTAGCTGGGACTACAGGCCCACATCACTACGCCCAACTAGTTTTTTTTCCATTTTTGGTAGAGACAGGATCTTGCTCTTACTCAGGCTGGTATCCAACTCCTGACCTCAAACTATCCTCCCACCTCAGCCTCCCAGAGTGCTAGGATTATAGGCTTGTCTCTTAGCAATTTTGAAATGTGCAATACTCTGATATTAACTATTTTCACCATACTGTGAAGAACTCAAAAAAGAAAAAAGAGGCAGCACCTGTGGCTCAAGGAGTAGGACGCCAGCCCCATATACTGGAGGTGGTGGGTTCAAGCCTAGCTTAAGCCAAAACTGTAAAAAAAAAAAAGAAAAAAAAAATAGAAAACCCACATTTTTCCCATCTGAGGGTCTAAACCCTTTTGACCATCATCTTCCCCTAGCTCTCTACATCTATGAGTTCTAATGTTTTAGATTCCACATATAAGTAGAAACATGTGGTATTTGTCTTTCTGTGTGGACTTAATTTGGCATAATGTTCTCCAGTTCCATCCATGTTGTCACAAATGCAGGATTTCCTTTTTCAGGCTGAATAGTATTCCAGTGGGGTGTGTGTGTATACATATATATACAC